CCACCAGTTCCCCAATTAAACCCTTTATAAAACATTGCTCCTAAACAAAATTTCAAGGTAGTAGACCAGGAAGGCACCTGATCCTCAATAATAAATGTGTTTTTGGGACCTCTATTGTGAAAAGCTTTTTTCCACTGGAAAAAATGCTCATGGAATCTTCCTTTACTTAGGACGCCATGGAAGCTGAGGAAGAAGCTGAAAGCTTGGGGCTTCTCTTGAGCTGAAGGTCTGAGGCTGCAAAGCAAAAGGATTGCTGAGAACAATTACAAAGCACCTGAGAAAGGAAGCTGAATACAATCTATGAAAGGAAAATGAATACTACAATCAATTACAAAAGATCCCTCACCAGGAATCCAGATTTGTTTTAGTGCTAATTTATTATAGAGGTCCTCCCATTTGTTTGAGGGGGGGGGCCTATTTACTAATCAGGCGCCAACATTATTCCAGATATTCCAATATCACAGTTTCACTATGTCTCACTATGTTTCACTGTAGAGAGTATATATCATTCTCCTCAAATGATCCAGTATTCCATTCAGTCAAACTGGACATGTTTGTAATGCGATTCCGCCCCCGTTTCACTCGATCTGCCACACCGAGCTCTTGGGCCCGCCAGGGGGTATCTGAAGGGTGTCTTACCAGCAGAAAACACCCAGTTCAGATGGTGATGGGAAGAAAAATACCATTGGAAAAGGGGATGGGAATTGAGGGGGTCTTTCTGGAGTCTATACACCGCCTGAACTGGGTGGTGCTGGAGAAAGACTCATTGATTCATAACACACCTCCATGTCCATGGATTGCAACACCTCTTCAAATGGGGTTTAGGGAGAAATAAAACTAAAAGAGTCTGCATTACACTCCCTGGAACTAACATGGCTGTGGAGTTCACCCTCGGTCTTCGGATAAATGGTCCTCCGAACTCGGGGCCATGCCATACACGGAACCATGTGAGTTCCAGGTAGAGTTATAGTTATATATAAAATACATAAGAACGACACTCACACCTCAAGCAGCCTGAAGCCACAAGTCTACAGGTCATCTCTTCCCAAGATAGAAGAATAATTAATGAATGCACAAGTCACAAGAGTGAATGACTGATAATGACATTTTAGTGAGGGGTAAATACAAAGACTAGACGTTCGACGTTCCGAGTGCTGCAAAACTTAAGAACCTTTGCAAAGCATCAAGTAGTGATCAATGTCATCAATGTCTGTTCATGAGAAAGGCGAAACACAAGACCCACTTTGTGGGGTTGGAACACAATTGATGTCGCAAATAAAACAGCAGCCATCACACCCACTTTATGGGACATGATGGGATGCACATGATGGGCGTTATGTTCATTCTTACGTTCCATGTGCATCTGGCAGATTCACACCGTTCGCTCCACAAGGGTGCTCTCTCACACGCTGACCTAGTAGCCGCACTCTCAGGACGCTGCCGATTGATACTGTGACTCCAAAACCACGTAGACCACTTTCATGAACTGGCGGCCCTTCCGCTGCTCCTGGGAGGCGGGTGCGGGAGCGGGAGTGGGGCCCGGGGTCACAGGGCTTGAGCTTCCCGGTGACTGGAGGATCAGGTACCACATGGTACCACCATTCCCATATCATTTCAGTCACGATCTAAATCAGTCCTGAGTGGCCAAACCGGGTACCCATGGGTACCCAGTAGCTATACTCCTACACTGTCTCTTGGCAACACCATGCTACATCCATCCCACGCCGACGTCGCCTCTCTTCCCCAATATGCGCATCAAGTATACCCTCATGTACTTCTTCGGGCCCTGGGCGGCTGCATTGTAGACCCCTTGCATCCATTCCAGGGTCACCCATTCCAGACCCTAGTAGTTGAGGGTGTCATCAGATTATCATCACGTCAAAAGCTGAAATCCTCCGTAGGCACCACGCGCCGCGATGCCACGTTCGACTGCGTGTAGCCGCCGAAGCCGCCGGAGACGCCTCGGCGACGGCTTCGATCTCCGGCGATCTCTGTCGAAGATGTCTTGGAAAGAAAGGCTCCTTTCATTTTAAACATGTTTGTTTGTTTTTGTGTGTTTATTTTGTTTTAGTATCTGTGTTAAAGAACTTGTGTGGAAAAAAAACACCAAGAACCTGCTAAAGGGACCCCTAAGCCTAAGCTGTTGTGTCACCGGGCGGAGGGGCAGGAGATGGCAGGAGTGCTCCAAATGCTTCGGTGATTCCAAAGACTGCCCTGACAGTCTGACAGTGTTAAGAGTCGTGGTTTGAGAAAAAAAGGACAGGTGTCCTGACATGCTGGCTTACCATGTTAGAACCTGCCGCAGCTAAGAAAAAAAAAAGGCGTAAGTAAGCACCGGCTTGGAAAGAAGGCTGAATCTTTTGGCAATATGTCAAAACATGTCAAAACAAATCATTAAATTCCGGTTTAAACGCGCAATCGTCCGTGTCAGGACCCAAAGCGATATTTACAGGCAGAACAAAGGCTATGCATGGTTGCAAAACAGTCATGAGCAGCAAACAGTTCATCCCCTCAAACATTAAAAAAAAACAAAAAACTAGCATGTGTTTTGCATTTTTGTTGCAATGGATTCCCTCTTATAACTAACATTTTATAAATATATAGTTAACCAAAAGAACTGCCCATGCTCCGTCAACGCCCAGTGACCCGCGATTTCCTGGGCCATCATCTCATCCTCTCCGTCCGGCGCATTCAAGGTCTGGCACGGAGCTCTAAGTTACGGAGCTCCAAGGGAGCTATCAAGGACGTCTGGCTGTCACTACGGCCTGGAGTCCAAAAGAGGTCAGGTGACCTGAACTAGGACCCGTCACCTGGGGTACCTAACTTGGATAGTCGAACAGTCGGGCTCTGACCCACCTCTGCCGGGTGTACTCTCACCAGCAAAGATAGCTATAAAATAGCCCTGGTCCAGAGGTCCTTGTACCGCCTGAAAGACCTTCCACGATCCGGCCTGCACATCTGCAGTGGCCACCTGGAGGCTAGAGCGCTTGGAGCGCTTGGAGCTACGCGCCATGCTTGCTGTCAAGCCCAGCAAAGAGCCGCCTGGAGGCGACTTGGAAGTCATTCGGCGCTCAAACCGATTGGTCTGAGGTTTCTTGGATGCATGCAGAAGCATGTAAATGTATAATGTATATATTGCCATGCCATCACCTTAAGATTTAACAACTGCGATGGATCTGAACTTCATAGACGGATCTGATTGATCCGTCACCCCCCAGGCCACTTGACCGGTCGCTTGCAGAGCAAAACGAAAGCTACGGTCCCCAAACAAAACTTCCTGCTGAATCCGTGCGAAATCCCACAGGCAAGCGTTTAGCCCTTATATGCGTAAGAAGCTATTATATAGTAGCTCCTGGCATGGAATCGAACGTAACAAGAAGCCACGAACGTAGCAAGGCACCTTACTACTAGTACTAGTAGCAGGAAGCCACGAACGTAACAAGAATCTACGAAGCTCTAAGAAAAGGATCAGTGATTCTTGATGTGATGCCTCGGATGATGTGAGGTGATGTTCGCTCAGTCTTAGGAAGACTGTTGAACTGTTAGTTAGAAAAAACTTCCAAGAGTCACATTCTGGGTGCTTTTTAGTTCCATCCAGTGAGTGGATGTGACGCAAGGGCACCCCGACTTCCTCCATTAGGCAGCAGAGAAAAAAGGCCTCCGAGGCCTCGAGGTTCGAACTGGTCCAAACATGTCCAGCCAAGCGACCCATCACGGCTGCAGACGATAGTGTCTTTGACTCATTCTCAGCAGAGCGTTGTGTGATGCCTCAGTGGTCTTGAACCCTGGGGATGGATGGATGGATGGATGGATGGATGTCCAGTCATCCCATATATGATATTCTGGTATAGACTGGGAAAAGGTTTTGGGGAGGCACTCTCCACCAATTTGACAGGTTCGAGGTCTTGCACTGAAGCATCTGCTCAAATTGACTTCGCCAACTGGATGTCTTTCAGATTCGTTCAGGATTGGGAACTCCAGAGAATAAGAATGTCAGGGTACTGGGTACATGTTGGAAGGACTCTGGCAAATGAACTATGTATTATAGCAAGTTCATGCAAGTTCCACAACAATTAAATCACATACTTCAGAATGACTTCTAGTTGGCGTTCCTCTCAACATCTCAAGTACCGGTGGTTCTACTGTTTTCCAAATAATAGATTCATCAAAAGTCGCGTCACCACGTGTGCCACTCGATCAATCCAAGGGGCTTGGCTTCGCACGGCGCGTCATCTGATGAGTCATGGAGGGTGCGACAAAGGCAAGACCTGGCGCTGGTGACGACCGAACCCATCAGCAACCGGCCTCACTGCATCTGACTTCCTGAATTCGGGGAGCAGCGATCGCTTGAATGGGGCCTTGCATCTGACCATCCTGGGGGTTAAGCATCTGCCTTTCTACATGATATGATTGAAACTTCTCCTTCGGACATTTGAGTGCACGGGCCCTCGAAACGAACACATCAAACTCATGAGAAAACATGCAATGAAGCTGATTCAGCAGCAAGAAGTTTGGCGGTCTGACTGCCTCACTTTGCCATAAAAACAAAGATCTGGTCCTAAGTTCAAGCCGGCCCGCCTGGTTCAGTCATTGCTGTCATGGACACCTGCCACGACTCTTTGTGCGGTGCATCGTCCGCGTGCGAGCAATTGACCGCAACGACAAGAATAACATAGAATCATCAAAGCTCCTGTTCGTGTTGCTGCTCCTTCTCTTTCTCCTTCTCGTGCTCCTACTACTTCTTCTATATACGTCTTCTCCTTCTTCTGTAAGTAGTAGTAGTAGTAGCAGTAGTAGTAGTAGTATAGTAGTATAGTAGTATACTAGTTACTACTACTACTACTACTACTACTACTACTACTACTCCTTCGTGGTACTGTAATGTACTGTAGTATTTTATCAAGAATGACCATAAAGGCGACACCGCACACTTTGACATCATCTTGAGTCCTCAGGCACACGGAGTGCTGGCAACCAACCATAAAATGTGCGAGAAAAAAGGAGCACCCGGAAGCACCCCATCCAAGGAACCCAAAATGACCCAAATTGCATTTCGCTGGGCGTTTCTTCCTATTCAAACAAACCCACACCATGGTCCGCATGTTTTGTTTTTTCCGGGTGAATCTGCGCAAAGAAGCTCTCTCGCCTGGCTCTGGCTAGACATCTCGCACGCGGCTTCCCGTCAAATCTCCAGGGTTCTCACAAAATAGGCTGCGGAACCAGCGACAAGTATTTTCACAAGTATAGTTCTTGGAAGCAATGGTGTTTTCACTGCTGCACACTGCACAGGGAGGAAGCAGGGCCATCTTGAGAAATTCCAAGTAAAAACATCATAATACAGAACCTGCATGTATGTTTAATGGTTGAACTTCTATGCAAAACTTGTGGTTTAGGAAGAGAACAACAACATAATAAATGCTAACAAAGGCATGATTGGCTTTGCAAAGCAACATCTGAACCCCATCTGTGTTGGTACCCCCATTCCCCCCCATTCCGTTGGCTTCCACCCCCATCTTTCGCGCGTGAAAACGAGCAACAAAAAAGAAAGCAACGCGTGCGCAAACGTCCATCGCGCTGGGCTGGACCGGCACAAGCATCTCGAGCAAAACTGTCAGACACTGCCTGTGCTTGAAGCACCATGTGCCTCAAAGGTGCTAAGACGGAGACGGACGGTGAACGTTTGAAGAAATGGATGGTGTTCTTGGAGCAAACGGCGAACGGGAGATGAGTATATCCCAGACACCTCCATGTGTGCCACATATGCCTACATTGACCACCAAAACCACCCCAATGTAGGCATAAATGGCAGTCCCATGGAGTGTCTGGGTATATATATATATATATTATATTATGTTTTTTGTGGGGGGTCTATCCCATTATCAGGGCCCAGTGGATGATGATGGTTCAGTTGCAGGCCTGCAGTGATACTAATGCTGGCTTACCGACAGGTAATAGGACAAACCCAATATATGAGGCTTAATGGAGGATAGGCGTGCCCAGAACATCCACTCACTTAGGGGCTTAAAACCACTCCTTTTGGAACTGCTGGTGTATATATAATATATATATAACTATTTGTTTATAACTATGAGTTTATTTATAGGCGCACGCTCAAATCTGTTCTTTGATGTTCAAGTCATTATATTCATACCACACCAAGCAGTGACTGACTACTAAAACACCGTGTGTTTTTGGGGGAAAGGGACGGGAAAGGGGACCTACCGACCTACCCATACCCTGCAGGTTCTGCAAGTTCTGCAGGTTTGGCGATTCGCCCCAACTCCACAACATTCAGCCGGTTCATGGTCCCAAAAACGACTATATACTTGGGATACCATGGAGTGAGAGGATGACGTAGACGGTCCGGTGTCCGGTCCAGGTCCCCCACCCGGTCTGCGGTGCGCGATGCGAAACGTTCAAATTGAGACTCGCGAAGCGCTCATCCAAGGAACCCAATCCGAGGGTGCACCTCAACGACCAGCGCAACAGGAGAGCTTCAACTCACCAAGCAAGCAAGCAAGTAAGCGAACTAAGTACTGTTTCACCATCAGTTCTTTGACTGCTAATGCTACAAAAAACAACTGAGACCATAGCAACAGGGATCACTCATTCTTCCTCTTATATAACCATTCTGATATTGGACGCGTGTGAGGCGCTTTTCCAGCAAACCGCAAGGACCCGGTGTCCCCAGTCCTATATATAGTCCTATATATTGTGAGTGGTCGCGGGTCAGGGTCCCTTTTACTATACAAACGACAACAATCCAACTGCGCTCCGTGCTCCGTTTCGCGGGAAGGTGCTCTCCGTTTTTCGCACGTGTTTTTTCCCACGAGTCAGTCAGCCAAGGTCCTTGGATGACACAAACCCTTGGATTTCCCAGATACTTTGGGAATCTTTAAGACTCCAGGTAGTTATGAATCATGGTGCCCACGTGCGTGACACTGGGCCAAACCCACTGAGACAGAACGCCCCCAGGTCGCGTTCTAAGCGAGGTGAGTGACTCGCCCTGTATTGAAACGACGCATGAGACAAGCACCTGATCTCCGCGATCTCCGTGTGGATGAGCCAAAACATCTCGTGTCATCTCCTCTCATTTTCCATCATGTTCCCATTCTCCAAGGTGTCGATCATCGTGGTTTGAAGCCTCATTTGTGGTATAGATGATTGGATCTACCGTAGGTGGTGCGCCTGTGGTCCTTGCGGCCTGGTCCTTGCCCGACGTCGCTGGAGGCACCGATCTGCGGAGTTTCTCGCTGGAGGTCCTCGTGGTGCTGGGCTGCGTGGAGAGGGAGGACACAGTCCACTGGGAGCAAGAGATCTTCTCGGTTCAAATGGCACAATCCCCCAAAAGGTAGTTTATATGGACCCCCCATCTAAACATATCCGCCGGCCTGCCGGCGTGTTTTGTGGATTGTTTTGGTTAGTATTGCTTGTGTTGGCTTCAATCTACGGTTTGTCTCTCCGCGCGGATTTTTCGACAGCCTGACGCCCCCCCCCCCGTGGCTGGGAATACTGCGCCCTATGAGTCGATGAGCGCTTTTTCACAAGTTGCGTACCGGATCACGATCCAAGTGCCCTGTGAAGCCGCGGTCGTGTAGTGACCTGATGTCAAACGTTTATTTGGCCAGTGACCTGGAGTCGCACGCAGCATGGATAAATAATATAATGGATGGGGGTTAAATATTGATAGCGGTGTGTATGGTTACTTGCACCCCAGCTTGCCAACGATGACTTGCTTTGGCTGAGCTTTCGAGATGCCGCTTGCGACTCCGCTATAGATCCCTGTGAAGCTGCGGCCGTGCAATGACCGATGTCAAGCCACCTGGAATCGCATGCAGCATGCGAGTAGGTAGATGAAGGAATGACCACATAAGCCATCTTCACCTGTGTAGTAGGGTGTTTGACTTCTGAAACCATTTGCATGTAGGTACAAGTATAGAAGGATGTGGAAACTCTGAAATCAGCAGCTGAACGCAGCACCGATACTGGGTGTTAAGTTTTAACATTGTCGTGTATGGCTACTTGCACTATCTATCTTCAAAGGAAAGGAAGGCAGCTCCTTGTTACAAGTTAGAAGACCAAAAAACTTTGAGATACCGCTTGCGACTCCGCAAGGATCCGCTCCAGTATGGAGTCTTATGGGAGAATCCGCAAAAAGTCCGACGCAATGGAGAATTGCGGCGCAGCCTTGCCTATACAAATTTGGCCCAATCGGCCCACTCCCGGCAGCATTCGGCAGCCGCTCGGGAGCAAACAAACTTCAGCCGCGCGCATTCATTATAGTGATCGACGTGGATATGCTGTAGTGTTCCTGCAGACAACGGTCCATCACAAGGACACTTACGCAGCAGAGAGATATGCACAGAACCTAGCGCTAGGCTTCATTCTCTTTTCTGGACACCTCCAATGAGATCATCAATAATCAAAACAAAGCCTCTAGCATCCTGGTACACTCCAAACCCTGGCGCCATTGCAACCGAGCTTCCAAATCTCTGCTCGATCTGCGATTGCATTTGCCACTTTGAAGACCAAGTCCAAGCCGAAGTCCACCACAAAAGCACCATGCGCTTGCCGTGGTCCTCGCAAAGCAAGGCTAAGATTGCATGGGAGTTAGGGCCTCCAGTGACATCAGGAATATAGTGAACAATTCCCACGTCATGTCAAAAACGTGTTGGGACATATAGTTAACAATAGGGATAGGACGTGCGACACCTTTCAAAGAGCAACCTTGTACTAGGGCGTTGGGAATCTGGCCATGCTTCGCATCAATTTCATTGCCTGATGACATGGGAGTTTTACACTCCGCATACAGAAAGGCAATTGAGCAAATAACTTGGGAATGTGTGAGTTCCCAATTTTCTTTAGGTCCCATCCACCGAACGTAGTATAGTTGCACGGTAGACCCTATAGGTCGAAACAACAGGACCGGTTGGCGAGCCCATTCCGCCGAACCCGCCTGGCTTGGAGGCGAGCGGGATCGAACGTCCTGCGGCCATTTAGAAACAGTTACTGTCGCAAACCACAGGTAAGTTTCAAGCCGAAAATCTATGTCTATTCTACGCTTGCTTCCAACACAGACGCCTCGGCGTCAAAGACATTGGACTGCCGGGTCTGAGTGGATCCACGACCGCGCACATCGTCGGACAGAACCTTTGCTGGAACACAAGAAATCAAGGTGCAGCCACCCGCTTTGCAAGATGAAAGGGGCCAAGAATAGCGGTTTTTAGAACACCATGTCACTTCCATACTAAGCTTTGTCGCCTACCAGATGCTTAGTCAAGGAGCTGAAAAATTGGTGGGCGAGATGAACGCCAGCTCTTGCTTCCATTCTGCAAAGCCTGTGTGACAAGCATGCGTCGTTCATCGGAGACCACCAGAATATAAAAAACAACGAGGCCATCACTCTCAGGTTGGAGGCCATCGCACTCAGGGTGGAGGCCATTACCATTGCTATCAGGTTGGAGGCCAGCGCTGTTAGGTTGGTAACTTAGTTCATGCTTTCTGAAAGGCCCACATTCTAATTCTATGCGCGAGGGTCATCCCTATAGGGTCATCGATTTTGGAAGGTTTGGCGCGTTAATTTAAAACTAACTCTAGACATTCATATTCTAACTGGTCGTCCAGTAGTCCTCTACTGTAATCGTTTCTTCTTGGGAGGAAAAAGCTTGACTTGTTGAACCGAGAAACATGTGGCCAACTGACAATGCTTATCGAAGCGCTCTGTACAAACCACCTGGACCATTTCGTGTCCAGTCGAGCTCCAGTACAGCACCCGCTTACCCACCATTGCCATGGCTTCCGACGGCTCAGTATTTCCTAGATGAGTATCACACTTACCTACAAGCTTTGCAAGTTAAGTATCCAACGTGTGAGACAAGTCCTCATTGTCCGATATTGAAGATATGAGCTCTTTTTGCATCAGCGAGCATCCGTAGCAAGACATAATCCAAACAAGTGCCGGACCCTTGAACATGGCAGCCAAAACCTTCCGGTTCAGGCTTCCATCTTATACGTGAGGCAAGCGCAACAATGTTTGCAAGCGGCCCGATGCTTTTGCGATCACATCCAACAAAATGCAATCCCTCTGTAAATTTTCAGACCTACGAATGCTAGCTAACGTCACGAAACAACCACAATCACCCTCATCGCCCTTATCATTATTCACTGTTGTGGTGATGCACGGGACACCTATCATCCACCGTTTCGGGGTTGT